AACCAGCTTTTCATTTGATTGATTTACTTTGTTGTTTTCCTGTTTACTTTTTTTAATTAATTTTTATTAGTACATGTTTGCAATACACTGATTGCATTTATTGTGGAGAATTGCTATAGGTACATAACACCTTAATTCTTTAAATCCCCTTCCCCTCCTCTCACTTCTCCCTCCTTCCATCTCCTGGTACTGTTCCCATTTGCAAATTACCCATTTCCTTGTTTTTATCATCAATCTTTTATTTTTCTTTTAAAATTATTTATATTTTATTTTTCCATACAAGAGAAACCATGTTAAATTGAAGCTTGTATGTCTGATTTATTTCATTTGACATTATGGTTTCCAGGTGCTCTATTGCTTTCTACATTGAATTCTACCTATATTTATGCTTCTGTTTTTTAGCCTGTACTCGATTTAATTTGCTTTTCTTTTTCTAGTTTCTTCATGTATAAACTCAGGTTGATGAGTAAAAATCTTCTTTTCTAATATGAATACTTAGATTCTATATTGATTTTTCCTCTAAGCAATAATTTTATTCCTTCCCATACATTTTGATATGTTGTATTTTCATATGTATTTAATTAAAAGCACTTTCTAATTTTTCATATGATTTATTTTTTGGCCTATGTGTTATTTAGAAGGTGTTTTTTTTTTGTTGTTGTTGTTTTGTTTGGTTTCTTGAGACATTCTCTCACTATGTGCTAAGGCTGGTCTTGAACTCAAACTTGAGGCAATCCACCTGCCTTAGTTCCTTCCTGAGTGCTGCCTGACAGGTGTGCACCATCATGCCTGGCTTAGAAGTGGGGTTACAATAAATACTTGGTGACTGTCTTGGTCATTTTCCTGTCACTGGGATATAATACGTGATACCTGCAATTTAAAGAAGAGAACTATTTTGGCTGACAGGTTCAGAGTTCTCTGTTCACGCATGGTTGATAAGCTCCTAGGGAGATATGTCATGGTGGAAGAATCCCTAGAGGAAAGCTGCACATGTCATGGCAGCCCAGAAGCAGAGGAGCCATGGTGGGAGAGATGCCCTTCCAGTCTCCTCCAAGTAACTGACCTCTTCTCACCAGACCCTGCCTCCTGACAGCACATTCGGCTCTAATTCACTAATGAATGTAGCACTCCTGTGATTCAGTCACCATCCAAAAGCCCATCCTCTGAATATATGAACCTTTTGGGGAACAGTCTAGATCTCAACCATGATGATGGCTTTCAGTGTTTGTTCCTGTTAGTTGAGTTCTAATTTAATTCACATTCTTTGTAAGATTTCAATTCTTTTACATTTGTTAACACTTACTTTAGCCCAGAATGTGGTCCCTAATGTTCCAAGTCTACTTTAAAATAGCTTCTATTCTGAGCTGTTGGGTAGAGTATCCTAAAATTCTCATGTATTAAGTTCACTGTGTTGTTCATGTCTTCTGTGTTTTTATGATTTTCATCTATTTGCTCTATGAATTAATGACAGAAAATAATATAATCTCCAACAATTTTTTCTCCCTCAATTCTGGTGTATTTTGCTCCATGAACTCTGAAGCTCTCTAGGAATAAAGAGAGCTGTGTAAGTCTGGAACACACACATAACTGTTAGATTCTTGATGGATGGACTCCTTTATCATAATTTAATATCCTTCCTTGTCCCTGTTTAGGGATCTGCTATTCCCTCTTCACTTATGCTGCTTTCCCACACTCCCTACAAGAGGGGAGGTCCTGTTGGATTTTCTAGGCACAACTGGTATTTGATGTATGTTCTGACAAGGATCTGTGACACTAACAAGCTGCTGTCCAGCTATAGGTGACTCTTGTTAATGGAGTACTGATTCTTACTACAATCACTTGTAGCCAGGATTTAAATCAGATGTATCTCATAAGCTGTGGTAACAGACTAATGTATAAGAATTTCTTTTTTCTGTTTTATTTGTGAGGAATTTGAAGTAGTAGCAATCATAATATCATGTCCATTGTAACACTGCAAAACCTTGTTCTGCTTTTGTGACCTTCCTTTATCACTAATACGATCATATTCATCCCTTATTTTTAAAAAGTAGTTTATAGGGCCAGGGACTTAGCTTAGTGGTGCTGCCACCTGCCTCGCAAGTGCAAGGTCCCAAGTTCGATCCCCAGTACCAAAAAAGCAAAACAAATCAATGAAGTAGTTTATAACTTTTAAAAAAATATCCATAGGAGTCAGGTGGAAAATCTGGGCAATATTGTGGAACAGTAGGAGTGGGGGGTTTGTGAAAGGAGGGACGGTTCATGCTTTGTCTAAAGGAGTAGCACGAATCATTTGTCTTGTGAAATGTCATTTTTTGAGATAAGCTGGTAATCTAGAATTTGTATTATTTAATTCAAAATTACTTAAAAAGAATGGATAGTATATTATGGGCTATATAATGTATATAAATAATCTGCCATTGGGTTTATGGCACTCTAGGGAAGACGCTTTTAATTATTCTTGAGAACTCCTCTACTTTTACCTTGAAGACTTGCGTACCTCTACAGGGGGATTTGTAGAATGGAATACAGCAGTTAATCCTGTGGCTGGATATGAATCAGGAGAGAGTGCTAATAATGGGAAATTTACAGAAGATGGTTCTGTTAAGTTTCACACCAGGTGTTAGGAGATACTGCTGAGTAAACACCACCTTGATAATGCCCTGGCATGAAGGAGTGAGATAAACAGGTTATCTATTGGTCTCTCTGTCCATCTGTCCATTGATCCATCTGTCTATCCATCACCCATCTGTCCGTCTGTCCACAGATATACTCTTTGTCAAGTGACAAAGAGGAGGAGTGATTAAATCTACTTAGTGAACACTGGCTCATATTAGGCTTTGTGCCCTCTCTCTGTGCCTTTATTTTTTCTGGCCTGTGCTTTGGAATTACACCCAAGAAGTCCCTATCTGTAGCCAGGTCTCTCAGTATACTATCTGCCCTTGGGATGGACCCTGAGGAATATTTGTGGTAGAAGGAGATAAGTCATTGAGAATGGACTAAAATAACATCTAACATCCAGCAGGTATTGGGAGCTCTTCAGACCCCTGGATACCTATAGGGTGAATGACGGGGGAAGACAAGGAAAGAGAAAGAATATTCAGTGTGCAATGGGGAACCGGGAGGAATCTATCTCTAGTGGATGGGCTTCCAAGAACTAATAAAATATTTAGTCACAGGGAATGCAGGGGAGGGTGTAGTATGCTGTTCCAGGAATAGTGACTGTAGTAAGTTTAGAATAGCAAGATAGGGATGAAATTTAGCATCTCAAAGGGGACCAGTTAAGGTCCTCTCCCCCAATCAAGATGTCTGTATTTTATATTGCCCTCAGCAGAAAGTCGTTTTGCCTCAGAAGTGCTACAGTTATGGCTTTCCCACATACCCAGGAAGTCTTTTGCATACTTCTCTGTTCCCCATGCAAGTTGACACTGGGCCTCAGGACTTCAGGGCTTTGGCCTGGCCCCCACCAATCTATGCATATCATGGCTGGACCCCAACAGACAGGGAAATGTCATACCATAAAAATATAGTACCATAGAGCACTGACTGTGTAATATATATTTAATACTTAAGTCCCAAAATAAGGACCTAAATTTTATGGTAGCCTGTCTTTGTATACTAACAATAAAATATCATATGTTATGTGGTATAAAATAGGGATTTGGTAGTGATCCTGAGAATTCACGAATGTAGGTGAGTTGTGTGTAATAGAGTCATCCACATTGATGAAGTTAATCAGATATTAATCATCATTCAATTTAGAACTATGTTGATGGCCAAAATATAATTTAGTCATTAAGTATTGCTTATTACATGTACACTTCTTTATACTTTACACACACACAAAAAAGACAGACTTAATTTACATGTGACCAACTCAATCACACAGGAAGCTTTGTGCTGAGAGTTGTTTATACCTGGCTTTTCTTTCAATGAAAAAGAAATGTCTGTGTCATCAGTGTGGTATTTCCTTAAATGTTGTAAAAAACACTGATTCTCAAAGCTAGCTAAATATCTGAATCACCTCCAGAGTTAAAAAAAGCACCAGTGCCTGTATAACACCCTTAAAATACAGAATTGATGGGGATGAGCTGGGTCCTGGGCTTTTAGAACTGTTCCATAACACAAAAGTCAGTCTTCTGCTGAGGGTGTCTTTCTCCATGCCCGATTTCAGTGAATAATTGTTACTTTAATACCAGATAGGTGCATCTCTCTTGATTAAAAAATAAATATCTTAGGATATTTTATTCATCTTTGCCAGGCACATAGCAATTGCTAAATTTCTGAATGAACACATTCAGAAGGCTTCTATACTTCTTTTATATTTCCATCACTCTAGCAGATTATGAACATAAGATTTCAAAAGATATTTATGGGAAGAAAAGGAATAAAGCAGTAGGGATAATATATAGCAGATTGAACATAAGATTTCAAAAGATATTTATGGGAAGAAAAGGAATAAAGCAGTAGGGATAATGTTTAAGCAAAACAAAAAATTTCACACACACATATATAAATAGATCAAAAGGTGACAAAGAATATACAAAAGCATGCAACATTTAGCAGTTGATAATTCAACAGTTTCCAAATATTCTTCAAAGTAACACTAAACACTAGTTCTTTAGCTAATAGCCACAAGCACACGAGCAGATTGTTTTCTTTAAAAACAGAATTACAGGTTATTCTTGATGATCACAGCTTAGTTTTCAAAATTGAAATGAATAAAATTTTAGTACAATTATGGTAATTTTCCCAGGTAGTTGTATTTAAGAACAAGATTGTTTCCAGTTAAAATATCTGGCATCCCCTACGTTACGTCCTCATGATTGAGATCCAGTGGCTTCTTAGCAGTCCCACATGATAAAACAGCTATTCTTGCACCTTTCCACATAATATATTCATTTGGGGAAAACATTAATAATAGCTTTCCTTTCTAGAGCTAGGTTCTCAGATATGGCTTCATGTATCAAAGTTCCACAAGTATTAGATAAATTTGAATTAAGTCAGTACCTTAGACTACAAAGCTTTGGTTTTCTTAAAATCAGCACTGGCTGTTTGTGGTAGTTTGTCACTAAAAAGTGCTGCTTCACTCTCTGTGGTTGGGAATCTCTTCTTATATATCAAGGGCTGTTCCTTCTGAAACTGCTTTAGTTTTCTTCTTTTCTCCTTCAGAGGTAAACTCTTATTTTTAATGATATTCTCTAGAAGTTCTGCAATGGCAGCTTGAGAGGTAAAAACATTTTGTTCATCACACTCCTGTGCACTGATCTGTTTACAGTAAGAGTAAGTTAGCAAAGGAACAGTGAGTCCATCCCCAGGACTTGTAATACGGCCTTTTTTTAAGCAGTCCAGTTGTTTCTCCACGGCAGTCTGTGAGTATGAGGGCACTTGAAGGATCTCCTGATGATGATCCATGAGGAAGGAGACCAGTCTCACAGCAAGCAGTTCATCCAGGTCCACTTCTTCAGCACAACACAGCACACACCGAGAAAAGGTGTGGGTCATCAGAGCCCTTGTACCCATTGCATCATGAAGTTTGGGCATATCAACGTTTTGACTCATTCGAGAAATCATGAGCATTCAAAGTTGAAGCTTTCTACAATTTGGCAAGGGAAGTAACAAACAACATAACTGCAGGGTATTGATGGCAACTCTCTCCAAATGAGGCTGCAGCAAACCCAAAATGCTCACAAATAATTCATAATATTCATCTGTAAGTAGAGGTTCAGGGAGATCAAGAAAATAATCTGCAGTTCTGAACACATCTTGCTCAAATCCAACATAAGTCGGGTTACTCATATCATCACTTCTTGGCCAATTTGCCAGGCACTTCATGGCAGATAGTACCCAGTGAGGCAGGTCATGTGATTTGTGCTGAAGTGTAACTACTCCACGCCTACTTGTGTTGGCCATGTTATACATCGCATACTGAGGAATTACTTGGCTTGGCTCTATGAGTTCTTCTAGGAACAGCACACATAAAATGGTTTGCAGGTAGATCAGAATAACGTATCTCCAAACTTCTTCAACATCTTCCTGGCTTATTTCTCTATAATCTCCTTAGCTTTCTTTAACTTCTCTGATTTCATGATTTACTTTCTCTGTAGTTTCCTGAGAGAAATGTAATCCATGCGTCTTGGGAGTTCTACGAGACAAATTTTGTAATTTCAAAGCATTCTCTTTATCTTTGAAAAAACTGTTAATGCTGTTTTTTCTCATTTCTGGATGCCTTCGTGGAAGTGTTTTAAGTGGAGAAGTTGCAGGAAATCTGAATAACTGATTATTGTCATCAGGATTTTCCAACCCCCATCTGCCTTTAATATCTTCAATTACATGATTTTTAAGAAATTTTCTCAATAGTTGAATAGTCTGTTGCCTTGCAACTTCTGGGCCAGAATTGCTATTATTTCTTAATAGATCAGAAAACCTATCTATAGCTTCTCCAGCTGTGAAGCATGTGCCATATTTTTTAAAGTGTTGCCTGTGTTTTCTCAGGGGCATTCCTGTTTGCAAAGATGTAGTCACTTCATCCCACAGCTTGGTGGCCTGGTAGAGCCTGGGAGGCACCCCCCGACTCTCCATGGGCTGTCAGCGCGCTGTGGTGGCCATGGTGAAGGAAGGGACCACCGGGGACGCAGCTCTGGCTCTGGGAGCCTGCCCAAAATATAATTTAATTAAACACATTTTTTAGTTTAAATGACAGTTTTAAAAAAGATTATGTAAGTATAAAGGTAGACCATTTCATCTAAATAAAATTTATTTAAAATATGAAGAGAGCCGGGCATGGTGGTGCACGCCTGTAATCCCAGCACTTGGGAGGCTGAGGCAGGAGGATCACTGTGAGTTTGAGACCAGCCTGGGCTACATAGTTCCAGATCAGTCTCAACTACATAGTGAGACCCTGTCTCAAACAAAACAAAACAAAACAAAAAAAACTCAAAAAATAATGAAAAGAAAATTATTTTTTAAATCAGTACAATATTGAAGCATTGTGCTATTTCTTAGTTTCCTTCCAAGAATATATTGTAAAATTTTAATCTTTTGAAATTTAGTTTAGTCTAGTGTAACAATAAAATTTAATTTGAATAGAGTTGATAGACTAGTTGTGAGATCATATGGGAATGATATAAACCAATGAGCTTTTTATATCTGCTGATGTTAAAATTTTGGACAAAAGGACAACATTAAGTCTCCCAATTTGCCATAATGTCTTTTGCTGATTTGCTGACTGAAGTGACAGCAGAAAATTTTCTGACAGAGAGGCTGAATCAGGACCATGAACACATGCTCCATAGATGTCACAGAAGACTCATGATCTCAGTTGATGTCTTGGGCCAGTCCCTGCTGGGAGTCTGTGGTATTCTAGCTCTGATGAGTTTCAGGGAGATTTCTCTCATATAAGCCTCTAGGAGACAGGTTATTATAAAACATTGTTGTTCTGTTCTCCTAGCTATATAGTATGGATGATTCCTCTTAGGAATTTTTGTTTTCCTCTCTTAAGATTTTTAAGGACTCTTTAATGCTAGCTTCTTTTCCTCTAACATGTGCTTATAATATAATGTGCATTTCTTTCGGGTTTAAATCTTGAGGACTAGAGGTCTAAGGAGTGAGTATATACAACTGTAATTTATGATTTTTGACTCCTCAGAGGAAACATGTCCATGTACTTTATGCCTTTTTTATTTAATTGCTACAAGTCATTCAGAATTCATTAATTGACTTAATTTTTTCTTAAGTGAAGGTACTAAGAAAAGATTCAGGTCTGTAAAATGCTACCGGTTCTTCTCTTAAACTATGCATTTTACTTGTAAAATTGCAAATTGCAAGATATTTTAAGTTGAGTTTTTAATCCAATATTTATCATTAAAGTTTAAATTTGTTTTTTTCTTTTTTTTAATTGAGTTTAATGGTACATTTTAGGCATACAGTACAGTTACATTCATTATTGGGATCTTGTACCTTTACATGAAAGTTTAAATTCTTACCTAGATTTCAAACATAGAAATATAATCTAAAAGTGTATAGCTTATGTCTAAATGTTCCCCCAAAGCCTCATGCGGTCATAGCTGTGGCTTTTCAGAGGTGGCTGGATATAGTGCTATGACACTGGGATTAGGTGTTTGATGCTGGGATTAAGGGTGTGTGATTACTAAAGTAGTCCACTGATTGGTTTGGCATAATCCTGGGTGTGGATAATGGGAAGACCCACCCTGGATGTTAGTGCTACCTGGCTGAAGGGTGTGTAACCCAGATAGAATGTAAGGGACAGAAAGATAATTGCTTGCTGCTTCCTTGCTACTTTGATGCCTTCCTACCTTCTGCCCATCATGAACTCTTTCTCCTCTGCAATGCCCCTCTGCTATGTTACCCTGCCTCAGAGCCAGCCTACTCTAGGAACTGAAACCTCTACAAAGTGTGAACCAAAATAAACCTTTCCTTCTTTAACTTTGGGTGTCAGGTATTTTGTCTCAACAATGAGAAAAGACAAAAAGAAAATAGAGGTTTTTATTGTTTTTTATAGAATAGAAATATTTTGAAAGTAAGCATCTAATATGTATAAAACACTGACTTCTCTCCTTACACTCTCTGATAAATTGATTTTAGTAAGCATGATAAAGAGTCCTGAGATGTAATCACAAACCAACATTATTTTATCTTCCAAATACCTTTGAATTTATTCAAGAACCAGTTGTTTTTTCCCTAGATGAAACTAAAGTGGTTGTACAATTTTTCTAAGTACTCTAAACTTGAAAATAAAGCAAGGAAATATTTGTTTTTACACACACACACACACACATATGCACTCCCTCCCTAAATGTCAGGGATATAACCTTTGGCGATCCAGAGGACTCTGTGGCTTCCTTCTACTGAGGCCCTGTTAGGAAGGCCTCCTGGCAGAAACTAAGATACCCTGTACCAGCCCTTGAGTGTGCTCACATCTCACCATTGGAAGCACTCCTGTGACACTTTTAGGGAGTATAGGTCTTTTTCCAAGGTAGGAACAGGGTGGAGCTCAATGCATCACAGCTCTAACTAAAATTCTGTTCAGAGAACATCCTTACCAGCTTTCACTCTTGACTCATTTGCTACCTGCATATCTTTGATGTTATATAACAACTTTCAGCTTTCTTTGTATGAATTCTCCAGAATAATCTATATGAGAAAATCTTTGGGATCTCATGTATGAGATCTTCAAGTCTTAGATGACTTTCTTTATAATCCACTTCCATAGAGAATTCTGGTAGATAAAAAGAATCACATTCTTTTCGTGTGAGGTGTTTCTATGTGAGAGAGAGTGTAGAACAGGTATATTTACAAATCAGTTGAATGTTTACACTCAGTAGCAATCTTATTTGTAAAAAAATATCACCTTAATCATAATACAGGTGATCATCATTTGTTTTCTGAGACATTATCAGTGGAAGCACTTTGGTATGGCAGAAAACATACTTTATTACAAACCCAGAGATGCAAATCCTAATCTTAAGACTTTAGGCAATCCTACCTTTTTGGACTTTAGTATTATTAGGTGGAAACTAAAGGAATTATGTCAATGAAGCAATATGTATGTACTGAATTTTTATTGTATGTTTCCTTAGACCTTCCAATGAAGATAAGTATATTAATGAAAGTGTAACTACAAGATTGAATAGTGTTCTGACACTGGCTCATGAAATCTTTTCCTAGATTGAGAGGTCAGAGGAGACTTTTCTATGAGAAGCTAATCTGAAAGATGAGTAGGTTACAAAGTAGAAAGCTTCTGATTTGGAGCAAAGCAAATGAGACCAAAAAAACAAAAGATGCAGAACAGAGTCCTGATTCAGGAAGTTAAAAGAAATCTAGTGGATAAAATAGATCAAATTAGATGATGGATTGGGGTTAGGAGTTGAGAGAATAGAAGTTAAGAATGATTTCTAAATGTCTTGCTTGTCCAGGTTTAATCCATCTGAGCCATTGACCACCCTAGTGAACATCAGAAGATAGCCAGATATACAGGGGAGGTGGACATGGAAAGGAAGAATTTAGTCTTGGACAAGTTAATGTAAGGTGCCTTTGAGATAGCCATGTGGCAAAGTCTAGGGGGGAATTAGATATAAGAGGTGTGATGTGGTCTGGAGAGATAAATTTAGACATGTGATAAGAATTGGATTCATGGTCATAGATGAATTTAGAATAAGAGATTAAGTCAGCCCTTTTAGGCATACCATTTAAAGCTATATGGAATGTGGGGAAGAGCAGGAGCAACCTAGAAGTGCCCACAGCTATGGGAAAAGAGACAGATGTGTGATCTATCACTGAGGCTAAGCGAAGAGTGTTTTGAGGAGTGGGGAACCTCTCTTATGGCAGATGTTCCTGGGAGTTCAGGAATTATGAGAAAGTGTCTTGCAGCTGCAGGAAACTGGGAAGCCCAGGAGGAACTATTTTTAAGACGTGATGGGGGCAGGATGTAGTTTAGCGGCTTGCCATGCCTGCCTGACAAGGGCAAGGTCCTGAGTTCAGTCCCTGGTCCTGAGCGTGGTGGGGGGGAAAGAGAAGTGATGGGGGCAAGAGTGGACTAAAGACAGAATGGGGGAGAAGTCCCCCAACAGACGGAGTACCAGGGATTCTTTTGAAAAAATTAACTGAAGAATAGAGTGGGATGTTCTGACATAGACAGTGAGGTAGAGAGGTAGGAGTTTAAAGTTGAAATACCCAAAGAATGCTTAAATGCTCTGAGGAATTCTAGTGCAGAGAGAGAGGTTGAAGCTACAAGAAAGGGAGTAGTTAGTGACATGGCTACCAAAGTGGTCCAGAGGATAGAATTCAATACTTATATAAGGGGTTTATTCCTGTAAATAAACTCCTTTAATTGAACAGAAGAGAAAAAGGATGAGGCCAACTAAAGCTGATCTGTAGGTCTAAAAGCAGGGAATTTTCATTTTATATCTGTATGTAAAGTCCATTCTATTTTTGAATGTTGTGACTATATAATATAGTAGTGATGATGCTAATAATAGCAGACATTTATGGAATGGTTCTCTGTGTTATGTGTAGTCATTAAGGGTATATCTTCTATAGACAGACTGCCTGGGTTTGAATCTAGACAGTACCATTTTCTAGCTCTAGTATGATTATGTGAACTTGAAATGGTTTTTAGTTTTACCTTGGCCCTGATTTTCTCTGTAAAATGGGGATACTGTCAGCAGATACCTTACAGGATTAAATAAGTGCATCTATCTAGTACTTAGTGTGGGCTTGGCATGGTCAGTGTGCCCTGAATATTAGCTAGCTGTGGCAGTGATGGTCATCTTTGGCAGCTCATACAGCCTGCACCCCACCACCTCTGTGTGGGAGACAACATTTATCCCTGTTGGATAGATGAAGCAATATACTTGCAGATGGACTTGTTTGAGGCCACATAGGTAAAGTACAAGGTCCAGCTTCAAATCTACATCTCAACAAGTTCTAGAAGCAGCTCTTCTAGAGTATTGCTTCTACAGCTATGTCAGGACTCAGGATTTCAGGGATTAGCAGCGGTATAAATGTGAATCAAACAAGGTTGGTCTTTCCCAGTTCCTGCTGCCTCTGAGGCTCACTGTCTGTGAGCAGGCCTGCTCTGTGTCCTGTCATCTTGGT